AATTCTGCAGTATGTCTTCTAGCAGGTGGTATGTCCAGATCCAATGTAGTAACAGACTTAAAAAGTAAACTGAAAATACTGCTTGCTGACTTGTAAAGCACAGGTATAAGAATATGCAGTGTACATACAATTTAATAATTTGGTCTGTTGTGACTCTAATGCAATATTTTAATTGTGTAATGTCCTTGCACTTCAACAAGGACCATACTGTCAACAGGATATATCATCTGTTTATGCTATGCAAATATCCCAGATACAAAATTAGTTTTGAATTTTACTATATACACAAGGACATCTCCTGAAAACAGTAGGGAGTAGCAGATTTCTTCCTGGAACTGAATTTTATTTCTTCAAGATTAACAGACATTCCACGCTAAAACAGCATGCAGCAGAGAGCAAAGATTAATTAGGAACAAAAATCTGAGGGCTACCTGACTTTAATTTTTCAATTTACCAAAGAGACTGAAGAGTAGAGATGTATTTTATCAATTCAAGCAATAATAACACTTAGATAGAAGTGTAAAGTCTGAGAAAGATAAACAGTAGTTCAAACTTATAACTGATGAAAGCAGATCCATTCCCAGATTCTCAAAAATACCTGAAAACAGTTCAATGTCTGCAAATAAGTAAAAAGTCACTGACACATGGGAAGAAGGAGAGGTAGAGTCCTCCAAACATGGGTACAAATGCATTTGGAGAAGAAAATCTGCAAGAAAAGACCTTTAAAAAAAGTCTGTACCTGAGATGTTTCCTTATTACAGAAGGTAACAAGCACCTCACTTACCTTGGTTTGGTTGCATGTTCATGTTTGGTCTGGGACCATAGTTGCCCATCGGCTGTCCCTGGCTCATAGTCATCTGATTCTGCACTGGCATACTCTGTGAGGATGGCACTGAGTGATTATAGCCACCCATTGACCCATGGCTACTTGAAGGCATGTTCATGGAACTGTTCGTCATATTGAGTTGGTTAGGTCCAGGTCCTTGCATAGGCATATGGTTAGGTCCTTCAGAAAGAAAAATGGGGAAAAAAGGTTCTACATTAAGAATCATAAAACAAGCAAATATAGTCATGCTGAATCACAAAACTAAATGAAAGTTACTAAATACAGTTACATTAAAACAAAGCTAAAACAGAGTTTGCTCATGATGTCCCAACTTAAAAAAAAAGTTAATACTCAAAGTTCAGCTCTACTACGCAATAAATTTTCTTTTGTTGAGCAGCTGACACTACTAAAACAAAGGTGTAAAATACAGAATCACAAAGGTTGGAAAAG